TTTTCTGGTTCAAGGTTTTGTTCCTGAAATCTCTCAAATCCCATGTGACATTTCACTCATCTTTGAAAGATTAGACTTGAGTAGGCAGCATAGAAGTTTGCAATGTCACAAGATTGGTAAACTAATTCAAGTTTATAGTCCAAGGTGCTGTATTGCTGCTGAAGGCTTAGGAAATCAACTTTATTCTGATATTTTTTAAACGTAGGAGATAAATAAATTCTAAGGCCATTTTACTGCCACTGTGTGGCTCAGGTTCACCTAGGCAAGATGAAATCATTAAGTGTGTTTTTATCTACCAGACAAGGCCTGTCAAGACTTAAGAAAACAGAAAGAGCTCCAGGTCTGCAACTTGGACAAAGCAGTATGCGACAATAATATTACATACCAACTTCACTGGTTAATCCTTTCTCCAAATTCTGGTTGCAATGGTTTTAGAGTTATACAGTTTTTTAGATGGGCATGGAGCTGCCCAAATTAGTCCATACCCTCTTTCATTTCCACCCATTGATGTATTATGTTTGGCACTTAACATTTGGACAGAATCTAATCCTTTCTACTGATACCAATTTAAGTGACCAGGATTATGTCTTATTCAGTATTGTTTCACCTACTCTTATAATTGTACCTAGCATCTAAGATGAATTAAATAATTTCCTTTTCTAAATGCTGGGCGGCCTGTGATTCATAGTGAGGTTTAGAGGGAACATGGGAGGATTAGACAAACTGTACATAGGGCAAAGGGGTGGGAGGAGAAGGGAAAGGGCATGGAGGTAAAAAAGATGGTGGAATGAGATGGACATCATTACCCTAAGTACATGTATGAAGACACAAATGATGTGAATATACTTTGTATACAACCAGAGATACGAAAAATTGAAAAAAATATGAAAAAATGCTCTTTATGTGTAATATGAATTGTAATACATTCTGTTGTCATATATAACAAATTAGAAAAAAAAATTTTTTTAAACCCTAAATTCTGGGTAGCCTGTTACTTATTACATAAAAAAGTCATTTCTAGGGTAATTTTTTTTAAAGAAGATGATTGCTTTTGCTTTACTAGATTATTTCTTACTAAAAAATTATTCCTGATAATTATAATAATTGCTTTCCATTTATTAATGGTCAGTAAAGAAAATAAACATATGAGTTGCTTTAAAAAATCATCCTATAGTCTTTATAAAACTGACATCACTGTAAGTATAGATTAACTTACTCTCTTTACAAGGAATATTTGGTCATCCTTTATCTCTTCCTCTTCTTTCCCAATTCATCCATCCAATCTGAAAATTATTACAGGTTTGTAAATTATAATTTCAGTGCTTTAAAGAATGGTTAGGGGCTGAGGTTGTAGTTCAGCGTAGGAGAGATTGCCTCGCACTGCGTTCGATCCTCAGCACAAAATAAAAATAAATAAATAAAACATTGTGTCCATCCACAACTAAAAAAAGAAAAAGAAAAAAAGAATGKATTAGTAATTATAAATGTAGAATACAAGGTACTTTACGATACAACATGACAAGATGTCTAGAGGGGACCTTGAGGGTCCTAGCTACTATGCTTGGGGTGTGGTTTGAGTGTCCCCCAAGGACTCACTGTGAGTAAAGACTTGATCCCCAGGGATGGGAGGTGGGGGAAATTTTGGAGGTGAGGTCTGGTGGGAAGTCCTTAGGTAATTCTGGAAGATGAGGTATGTTTTCTGCAACTCTCTGCTAATTCTTGCAAGAAGGCTATTATAAAACGGGAAAATGTGGCCCATCCCATCCTCTTTTTCTCTGCTTCTCTGTGAACTGTATGACTCCTTGCTCCTGTACATACTTCCACCATGATATGCCACCATCTGTTACTTTCACTGGAAGCAAAGAAATACTCCAATCTTGAACTTTGAACCCCCCAAATGGTGAGCTAACCAGATTTTTAAAATAAAGTTAGCTTCCTTTGTATTTCATTGTCATAACAAAAAACTATCTAATAGACCAGCATAATGTGTAATCCTAGAAGTTCTCATTGGAAGACAAAAGAAACCAGAAAGTCTAAAGAGCTGGGCAAGATCACCTGTCAAGTTCACAAGTCAAGATCAAAGGTCAAGTTGATAAAGGCTATAAAACTAAGACAGCAGAGCCACTCTGTGGTGCATGCCTATAATCCCAGTGGCTTGGGAGGCTGAGGCAAGAAGATCACTAGTTCAAAGCCAGCCTCAGCAAAAGCAAGGTGTTAAGCAACTCAGTAAGAACCTGTCTCTAAATAAAATACAAAAGGGTTGGGGATGTGACTCAGTGGTTGAGTGCCCCTGAGTTCAATGCCCAGTACCAAAATAACAAAACAAAACAAAACTAAAACAACAACAAGGAAAAAAAAAACCTAAGGCAGTGGGAGGTATTTTGTAAAATATGAAGAGATCATTAGAGGTAGAAAATTGGAAAGAGAGGTCTCTTTTTCAACTTTGCTTTCAGAACAGAATGGATGAGAAGAAACAGTCATCAGGTTATCCATGTTAGCATGAGTTAATTTAATTCTTGAATAAGCATAACACATTTCTTAAATAATGTCTCCAATTTGGGGGTATCAGCAATAAAAATATACAAACAGGTGAAACAGATTGAATCTCTGGGTGAGAGAAAATGACATTTTCTTGTTGTCAGTTCTTGTTAGTGAAAACTCTAGGAGTGTGGATGTTCTCTAGTCTGGGAGTTTTCAGCAGATAACATGGTTAAGGTCTCAGGAACTGTTTAAAAAATGACCAGGGCATAAGGGCAGCTCTGTATCTGAGATGGATACTCATTTATCATTAGCATTCATGTGTGCTATTTGTAACCTTTGAAACAAGAAAATATCATTGCATTGTATTTTGATTTGATGAGGGAAACATTTTTGCCTTCCTGTATTTCAAATCTGTCCTTCTAACATTAGGGAAGACCACACACACATACACACACACACACACACACACACACACACGTGTGTATATATTTCTCAATATGCTGCTATTTTACAGGATGAGTTTTAAAATTCATGATGAAAAATTTTAAGCGTAAAATATTATAGGAAACATTTCTTAAGGCAACATCCAAATGATACAATCACATGGAACAGTCTGTGTAATTGTTACATTGAATACTTCATTCCAGCTGATTAGAGAGGATTTTATATAAAATTTGGATGGTTTTCATAACAAAATATTTATTTTGCATAACATAATTTTGAAAACATACTTTTTAATTGACAGTACTGAGAGATCAGACTTTTTTGTAAGGTTGGTTTGTTGACAAGGCTTTCCCCCTTTTATAATTATACATAATAGTTTCAAACATTTCTTTCAATCAAATATTTCTGATAAGTAGATAGAAATACTGAAGTTTTAAAATTTCTATAGGTGAAAAATATTCTTGAATATCTATAGTCTTCACATATAATTGTTATATGTGAAGAGATTTTCTCTACAGTTACAATTTGTAGTTCAGTCTCCCCTTTTTTCTGTCTAGGGAATAAATTAAACTTAAAATTATTTTATGAATATTTAAGGAAATACAAATTAACAAGGCATTTGGAAATTCAGGAACTTATAGCTAGGAACAAATTGATGGTAGATAAAAATTTCTCTTTTTAATAGATTTCAGATGCTGGCAATCCATAAATATGTATCAAGCCAAAACTATTATAATTTTGGACCCCAGATGGAAGTTGTTTATGAACAACTAGGGAACATCCAGTTTATTTATAGCACAGAAATCACTAACACTTGAAAAACAAAAAAGCAATTACTGTATCTCCAACCGTGTAATGACCATGTAAGATAGAAGAATCACATATTTAACTTCATCATTCTTAAATCAAAAGCTGGACTGTGGAGATTATGACTACATTTGGAAAATTCGAGAAAAATAACACTTTCAAAATTACAACACAAAAAAAATGCAATTAAGCGGCTACTATTATTCCCCAGAATAATAAAGTTCCATTGAAGAAGACATAAAAAAAGTCATCAGAGAAATATTAAACAAAATTAATTAGATAACTATCATTAGATGACAAAACATTCTTCCCTACTTCTCTTTCTTTTCCTTCTATGGTTGATATGTTCTTTTATTAACCTTGCATTTCTATTTTTCTTTTCTTTTTTTCAGAATCATGGTATTTCCATTTCTTTAAAATATATCTTTGAAATATTTATACGTTCTTTCTAGTTATGTTATCTTCTTCCATATACTCCCTTTCTTTCTGTTAACTCTTTTCTGTTTTTTTTTTCTCTTTGTCTCTGCAGAAGTAGGACTAGTACAATGAAATTCTCAGGAAAGTTTCCAGCTCTAAAGAAGGAAGTACTTCCTAAATCTTAGCATTATCTAAAATAGACACAATCAATTTTCCTGGTAGTGACCCCTTGCTTTAAGAGAGAAACAAAAAGAAAGCAATTTATCTGGAAAGTTGCAGAGAATTCTGGCATTAAGTAAGAGTCTGTGGTAAGTAATCTCTACATTATAATTCAGCACTAAAATGATACACTTCATAATTCTGTTTCTTGCCCATAGTAGATTCAGATCTTCCCATAATTSGGACCACTCTGCACTGCTTACAGAGTAAGTGATCATTTATTTATCTTTTCTTGCCTCTGTTTAGGAAAATGGAAAAATCTTTTTTCAAGACTCCTGGAAAACCACTTGATATGCTCAGCTCAGTGCAATTTTTTCTATTCTGCTTCTCTATATTTTATTATCAATTTCTTTCTTTTTTTATTGCTTGTATTTTTTTTATTCCCATATGCCCATCTTCTCTGCCTCACTTTTTCCTCTTCTCACTATTTCCCTTTTCCATCTTTCTTCACTTCTTCCTATTCTTTCCCCTATCTTTTGCATCCCTCTTCTTGCTCTGAGAAGGCTTGTTTGAGGCCTTGCCATTCAGTCTCAGAGCTCAGCAGCAATTAGTCATTAGAGAAGGAAAGGAGATACTCTCTGGCCTCTTTTGGAAGAGATTACTTCTCAAGCCTCCCACTCTCATAACCCCCTCCTACCATGTCCTTTTCCCATTTAAATATTGATGGTATCACACTGGCAACCTCCTAATGTAACTGTGGCTGGCACTCTGCAGAGGCAAGAGGAGCTGCAGGTTCTGTAGCAGGTAAGAGACTTTAGACATCTTTCCTTTCTATCTGTTACTAGCTCTTCTGTAGTCCCTGGACCTCAAGCTTGCCAAAGACAGAAATAAACCAGGTGCATTTCAATAGTTACCGCTCAGGGACATGCTCCACTTCCCTTGAGCTGTAAATTTTCTGATGTTTATCAGAAAAGCAAAGGCTACTCTGACTGCAGGAGGAAGGGTTAGCTCCTGCTCATCTGGAGGGCAACTATGCAGTCAAGTCTCTAGCCACTGATGTCTCAATGCCTCTGGATTAAAGAGAGAAAACCTATTTAGTGTGGAGCCCTTTGTTTCCAGATGTCACTTATTCATATCACATTCTGATGGACTCTATATGTGCCACCTTGCTCACTGTTTTGATGGTGCCCAGAATAAGGGCAGTGTGGTTTCCGAATTCTAGTGCAGCAGCATGAGCTCCTGGAGAATTATGAAACAGCTGAGTGCTTCAATGTGCACCACTTAATTATGTGCCACATGTAATTTCAGAGCAGTTCTATTTATAGCAGGACTTTATTTTTAAAAAGCTTATATTTCAGAGTGGGAGGCAATGCAAATCACTTTAGTCCTTGTAATGAGCCTTAAAATGCTACTCAACGGAGCTGTAAAATTGGCCAGCACTTCAAATGGTCACATTTAGATCAAGATGGCAAAGAGTACATTAATGGTATAAAAACAAGGCGGAGCTGGAATATTCGAGATTTCTCTTGKTGTTATGCCTTTTATGTGTGTGTGTAATCCGTATGCATATCATGGTGCTCATAGGTGTGTGGGTGTGCCTGTCTGTTTTGCAGAGAAATGGTTATTTACCAGTGGTAAAGATAGACAAGAGGTCAAAAGAAATGTAGGACATCTAATAGACACTCAGATTTTATACAAATATCCAACAAGGTGAGATTGAGTCAGATGAATATTCAGGATGAATTCCAAGTGGGAGAGACAATAATAAAATGTAAATATGTGAGAGTGGGCAGGAGAAACAAAGCTCAGAGAGCTGGAGGAAAGGAGGGGGCTTGTCTGGATTGTCAATCACAAGGCAGCAGCCAGAGGAGAGGGGAGAGCCTGAACCTGAGCCTCCACTAAGCCAAAGTGTCTGAGTAGGTTTATGTGTTTGTGCGCATGCGAGTGTGTTGGTGGAAAGGAGAGGATAGCTTATTGGAGGTCCTCAGTCTCTTGTAGACACAGTGATTCCTAGACTTCCAGCTTTGGTTATATATGAATGAAAAAAGAGATTTATTATTTTGTTTTATTAAGTGATTAAAGGAGTGATTAAAGCCTGTAAATAATTTTGGGACACCTAGAGGTATACCCCCAAATACATCATTCTGTTCTAAAAGTGATGGTAGTACTTGTCACCCAGGGACATGTGGATGTTCAACTTTTCCTCTTCCCTGATCCACCCAGCCCACATTCTGCCCATAGAGACTGATGGCAGTCCCTGTGACAATTCAGCAAGAGATACAGAGATTGTGTGTAGTTTTAGATTTGACACAATACTCACTCAAGTGCTGGACTCCAAGACCGAGTCTGTGGGAAAAACGTGGTCAGGGTTCGTCCTGAACTTTTTCCCAGCAGAGTGATAATGGTGTGCTGGAATATTTCCATTTGCTGGGCATGATTGTTGCGTGGAAAAGAAATGGCAGCTATATTTCTCACCATTTCTAAGCTGTTCCCTCTTATGTTTACTTTTTACTCATCTGTGCAGCTACTTCCAGCTTTAATCTTCACATTTACTTTCACATTGTCTAACTGAAATTCAAGGGCAGCTCTGACCTCCCTCACACATTCTCATTCTTGCTGCTTTTGCCATTAATATTCACTCAGGACCCGTGCACTCACATTTGCTCAAGCGTATAGTCCATGGCAGATGAAAAAGATTTGCAGCCAAACAATAGTTAGGAAATTAGATATATTTTCAAGCTATAGTACACATACTTTTTGAAAATAGCAATGAAAAGACTGAATTTAATCCAAGAGTCCAGAGTGAATGAGTTTAAAAGACTCAAAAACTTCAGATATGATTTCAAGACCTAGATTAGTAGTTCTCCGCCAAAATAAATTAAATTATATGTTATGGGTGGTTTTTAATTAGTTACCTATTATTTAAATATTAGTACTGACAGAAAAGCATATTAGTCTGAATGTTAGTTTATAAATTATTATCATTATCCCTATTAGCAATAAATAATGATGTAATAATAAGAATTACTAGTAATACTGTAACCTTTTATTTGTTTAAGGATTATAAATTCTGTAAGGGCTGGGAATGTGTTTTGTAGGTGCTTGCTAAGTATTTATAGAATGCTACATGTTTACACATGTAAGCTCTCTTGGTCTATTTTTTTTTATTTTGTTAGTTCTTTTTAGTTATACATTAAAGTAGAATTCATTTTAATGTAATTATACAAGCATGAAATACATCTCATTCTAATTAGTACCCCATTCTTATAGATGTATATAAAGGTGGGATTCACTATGGTCTATTTAAGAATCCTGTCTCACTATCTCATTAGTGTCTAAACATTTCATATGCCAGTACTTCAACTGGCATACAAGTAACAGCAAATATTTGTTGGCTAAGTGATTAKCAGGGGCAGGATGAATATCTGTTTGTGAATTCAAATCATACATCTATGGCCTGACCATCTTCTGATTCACCACATCCTTCTACAAGGGCACACATCATCTGCACTAGAACAAGTATGATGGTAAATATTTTGCATTAAATATCTGTAAGTCTGATCCCAGGACAAAGTTTTGGACTTTACCATTGCCATGTTTTTTCCTGGAAACTGCTGGGAAGTTAGAGTTTTCTTGTACTATTGACATACTTATGAAGGAAGGAGATCAAAGCAGCAGTAGTTGATACCAAGGGGAATTCTGTCTAAAGACTGACAATTTGAAAATCTGGCATTCACATTTGGAATGGTTATTTAATCTTGCCAGTGGTTGCTGGGATGCTGCTTGTGGTTTTTGATGATGTTTACTCAAATGAAGTGTTCCAAATAGGTTTAAAGCTATCTAAATTATGTTTTATTTTGGTTTTTGGAGCTGGAGATTGAACCTGGGAACCTCACACATGCTAAGCAGGTGTTGTAGTAGGAGCAACATCTGAGGCTTGTGTGTGAGCAGTCTCCTTGAGCCCTAGTGCTTTTATCAGCAAATCTGAGAAAAATAACAACTTATCACCTATTTTTTTTCTGGTACTGGGGAATGAACTCAGGGGTACTCACCACTGAGCCACATCCCCAACCCTATTTTCTATTTTATTTAGAGACAGGGTCTCACTGTGTTGTTTAGTGCCTTGCTGTTGCTGAGGATGGTTTTAAACTCATGATTCTCCTGTCTCAGTCACCCAAGCTGCTTGGATTATAGGCGTGTGCCACCGCACCTGGCCTTATCACCTATTTTAGCTGTAATCATGAAGAAGATATTGAATGTTATTTATCAAGTATAAGTACTACATACAATGCTAGCTATTATTATTATTATCTATAAAATAGAGACCACAATAGATCTATGTGAAAATTGGTTTGAAATCTAATGAGATAATTGGGAAAAAATGTTTTGAGGAAGACAGATGTGTTTCTATTCTCTAATGAACCTCTTATTAAAATGTTCTTTTAAAGGACATCAGTATCAATTTCTTATGACTAAACATGAGGGCAGTTCTTTTGTAGAGTTCCATGGCACTGGCACAAATGGCATAATTATTGCCATTACATGCTCATTGATAGAGTGTTACAAGCTCCCTTTTCAATATCAACTCTCTGTGAGCAATGCCATCAGAGTTATAAAACCCATATGGCAAATAAGTTACCTGTTTCCTTAGTATCACTTAGGTTTGTTTTTTTTTTTATAGAGTTGCTAACTGCAAAAGCTGTTCCTTAGAACATAAATTATTGTAATTGTAACTTTGGAAATAGCCAAGTGACTTGAATGAGGAATAAAGTATAACCAGAGAGTTTCAACTATAGCAATTGTGCTTTTTCTAAGCCTTTCTTATAAGAAATGTAGGAAGTAAGACAATATCTATAACAATCACATGTCATATGAGAACCAACTGAATATCAGTGATTTTTTTAGCAGCTAAAAATTCCTTTCATGAATAGATTTCAATGTGCCTCACGTACAAAGCACAAATATTGGTTTGATTATATTGTATTTACTTTGTAACTTCCCAAGTATGATACCCTCCAAGCTTGGGAAGCAGATAATTGACACTATTTTTGTGAGTAATGCCTCATCATCCTCCCTGGTTCTGAGCACTCTGAGATTTTTAGAAGGAGTAATTAAAGAATTAGAATGGTTCTGTTTGACTGACTTAGGGGTCAGCAAGAGGTTGACTTTCATTATTTCTTCTGATACACTCAGTTTTGTGATTACCAATCAAATCACTGTGTCTCTTTATGTTCTCTATTCCTCATCAAGCCTACTCACTTAACCTGCTTTAACTCATCTGGAGGTTGATTTTTTATATCCCTTTATAATTATAAAGTTACTGCATTAACATGTACATGACTCTGGTCCAAGTTAAATTTGAAGATGTGGGTTTATCAATGTAAGGGGTATGAGTGTACCCCCTAGAAGGCAGAAAATATCTTTCCACTATTAGTGTCATCTTTAATTTCTGTTAGCAATGTAAGATAGTTTTCAGTGTATAAGCCATCTACTTCCTTGGTGAAGCTAATTCCTAAGTATTTTCTTCTTTTGATTTCATTGTAGATGGGATTATTGTAAATGGGAATGTAAAATGGTGCAGCTGTTAGAAACAACAGTATGAAAGTTCCTCAAAAACTTAAAAATAGAACTGCCATATGATACAGAAATCCTATTTCTGAGTCTTTATCCAAAAGGATTGAGGACAAGATCTCTAAGAAATATTCGCACTCCCAAGTTCATTGCAAAATTATGCACAAAAGCATTATTCTCAAGAGGTAGAAACAACTTAGATGTGCATTTATCCATTGACAAAAAAATGAAAA